TTCTTCTCTCCATCAGGCCTAATCAAGGTGTTGACCTGGGCCACATCAATGGCATAGAGCTTCTTTACAGTTTGTTTGATGTGGTGCTTGTTGGCCTTGACATCCACAATGAATACAAGTGTGTTGTTGCCTATATTCTTCACAGATGATTCAGTGGTCACGGGAAACTTGATGATGGCATAGTTGTCAAGCTTGTTTCTCATGAGGGCGCTCTTCCAGGGGCATTTGGGCTGCCTTTGGAGTTTCAGCATCTTAGGCCACCAGAAGGTGGGTGATGTGCAGATTCTTTTTTGTGTGTGTGTGCCTATGGATGACCTTCAGGACTGCCTTCTTGCTCTTTAACGCCTTTATTCTGGCTTCAGTTTTGGGAGGGGCAGGGATTCCTTCTTCACTCTTGGTGCCATCTTCACAGAAAAAAAAGAATATGTACGTTCTTAACCCTGCTCATATTGCTTATACTCCTTACCGATATTCCAGAGTTTACTTAATGTTCTAGACTGAATTGTGTCCCCTCCCAAAATATAAACTATAAATTCTACACCTGTGATTATAATCTCATTTGAGAATGGGCTTTCTCATTGCGGTGTGAGGCAGTACTGGTACTGCACGTGTCTTCAGCCAATCTCTTCTGAGCTGTACAGGAAGCAGAGGTGGGGGAGACAGTGAAGATGACCAAGGAAGCAAGAATAGTAAGAGACAAGGATCTGCATCCACAACCACAGAGACAGTGAGTCTTTCCCTCGAGCTGGCACAATGAATCAGGACTTGAGGCACTTGCGCTGCCAGAAATTTGTTTGTAAAATCCACCTACTTAGGGTACTTCTATCAGAGTGGTAGATAACAAACACCAGATGGGGCTGCTAAAGCTGGGAGAGACCAGTAAGCAAGAACATGGCCCTTTCGAGTCCTTAAATCTAGGCTTCACATTTCTGACCTCATTTCTTTTACAAAAATGCAAACTGCAGAACTATCTATATGTACATTTATACATGCACGCACTGTTCCTGGAGACATAGAAAGGGTTACCCACAGTTGCTTTACAGAAGAGATTGGAGACTGGGTGGAAGAAAAATGTAATTCCTCTTTCCCTCTCAAGTGCCACATTGTCTTTCTCTCACTGCTGTCAAGTTGGAACTGATTCCTAGCTGACCCTCTGAGCTGGGTTTCTGAGGCTGTAAATAACACAGAAGGAGATGGCCCATCTTCCTGCCTCAGAGCCATTGCTGGTGGATTCAAACCAACAGGGGCAGAGCTTCTGGGTTAGCCTCCCTATTCCCTCTGGACTATACCACTAGCTCAACTTCTTGTCATCAAGTCAGAACTGACGCACAGCTGACCTTCCACTGGATTTCTCAGGCTTTAAGTCATACAGGAGGAAACTGCCCATTTTTCTTCCTCTGAGCTCCTGGTAGACCCGAACTGCTAGACGTGTGACCTTTGGACTAGCAGTACAACACCCTATTGAAAAAAGTCTAAGCCAGCAGGAATAGACAATAAATCCTGGAGTTCACCCTGTCTCACTTCATCCCTCCCACTTTCAACTATACAAGTATGTCTGACTCTGTGCTGGGTGGGAAGCTCTGATGGGCTAATGGTAAGAAGCTGTGCTGTAATTCCAAAGGTGTGCAGTTGGAATCCACCAGCTGCTCTGTGGGAGAAAACTGGGCAATCTCCTCCCAAGTGACCTACTGCCTCTGAAAACCTACTGGAGGGTCTGCTATGGTTTAGTTCCACAATGATGGTACACAACAACATGGAAGGTAAGAATTTAACCACTGACCCACTAAGACCCTAGCCTCACCTCAATCTTGGTTATGTCCTTTTCTCACACTCAAAATTCTGCTTTCAAAACACTCTTTCAGGACTTTCTAATAATTCCCCTATTTATCTCAGCTCCCATTATTGTCTGTCTGAACAAGACAGGCATACGTCTCATTCATTCACTCACTCGTTTAACAAATGCTTAAACTGCTAATCTTGGCCAAGCATTGTTCTAGATGCTGGGATTTCACCAGTGAATGAAACAGAAATCTTGCCATGCAGAGGAGGATCTTTGATTCTTCTGAGGAAAGCAAAAAGAATATGCAAAATAAACAAGAGTCATGATGAGAAAACTATGGAAAGGCGTAAAAGGGTGTGTGCGTGTGTGTGTGTGTGTGAATATATAACTTTAGACGGGAGTATAGGGATGTTCTCACTGAGGGGACATTTGAATAAGGAAATGAGAGGGACTTTCGATTCTGCTGGGAAAAGAAAACAATATACAAAATGAGTAAGACTCATATGAAAACCATGGAAGGAGGCAGGAATTGTGTTTAAGAACATGCACTTTTAGATTTTCTTTTTCTTTTTTTTTTTTCACGATTTAGGAATTTTTATTAAAGCAAGAATTTTATAATCCAAATTAAATTTCCTTGCTCAGTTATCAATTCTGTTACCTAAATCAGAACTGACATTCTGAGCTATTCCACAGTAAAGAATTACAAAATTAAAGAAAGGAATGATTTAAATTCTTGTACTTTGTTGATAATTCTTTTTCAGAAGGTCTCTAAAACATTAAGGACTAGCACGTGCTAGCCCCGGCATTTGCTTGGTACGTAAGGTTCAAGGTTTCCTTTCCTTTTTTTTTTTTTTTAATTGTATATTTTGCATTTTTTTCCACAATATTTAAGTTTTTCAATGTTTAGTTCTTTTTCTTCGGTGAAGCACGAGTTTTCTTTCATAGTCCCTCATCATTTTAAACAGTTGGAACACCAGTAACATGGCACTGTTAACTGCTTTCTGGGCAGCCTCTTAAGCTTGGTGGGCTTGTAGTACAGCTACAGCTTCATCAACCTTAGAACGAAGAAACTCCGGAGACTCAAGCATATGAAGAAGTTCTGAATTATCAGTCTCCAGTAACATGCCAGTGATTTTACCAGCCAATGTAGGGTGCATGGCTTGAATAAGAGCAAACATCCTTTCACCCAACATCTGCTTTTGCTCTTGATGGACAGATGCCAACATGGAAGCAGTCAAAGGCTCTTGATCTTCTACATGAACAGGAGGCCGATGCATGGTGAATTGTGGTTCTACATTTAGGTGTTGCTGACGATTGCGAACCCCAGCAGCGTATTTATACTGTGGCACAGTGAGGACAGCAGGAGTAGCTGCTTCAGCAGCAGCTGCAAGACCAGGACCCATGGTCTGTGTTGATGTGTTAGCAACATGTTGTGTTGACATGACTCGTGGATCTTGTGAAGAAGCTGGTCTCATGGTGCTAAATGGTGGTCTAGGAGCAGCTGGGTGGATAGCACCGGGTATATTTTGGAATGGATGAGGTCTGGCACCCTGAGCAGTATAGCGATGACTTGGTCTTAATTGAGCAGTTTGCCTGGGAGGGTAGTACGCAGCACGGTTCTGACTCTGTGGAATAGCTGCCATGAAATAACCTGAAGGAGGTGCTGGCTGGTAGGGGTTGATCACGGGGTTGGGCACAGCTCGGACATTCGCCATACTCTGCATGTACTGGTTAGTGAGGCGAGCCTGGCGCTCTTCTTTGCGCTGAGCTAAAGCTATATACAGTGGTTTCGTGGCCACAATTTTACCATTCATTTCTTTAAGTGCTTTAGTGGCTTCTTCAGGGGAGGAGAAACATACGAAACCAAATCCTTTGCTGCGACCACCCTCCATCATAACCTTTGCGCTAGTGATTGTACCAAATGGAGAAAACTCTTTGCGGAGACGTTCGTCATCAATGCCATCACACTTTTAGACTTTCAGTCAGAAGTGCAGTGATGGCCTCACTGAGGTAGCACTTGAAAGAAGATCTAAAGGCAATGAGAAGAGAGCCCTCTAATTGTCTATGGAAAAGAACACCAAGTAGAAGGAACAGACGATACAATGGCTCTGAGGAAGAAGTAGGCCAGGTGAGCTCAAAAACAGCCAGAAAGCCACTATATGCAGAGGAGGAGTTTCGTTCAGAGAAGGCAGTAATCCTGGGAAGTGTGTCAGAGACACTGTCTTTCACTTTGGTGGAAATGCAAACTGCCACAGCACAAGAAAGGATAAAAGACAAGCCTTTCCAAATTTAATTCTGAGGAGTGGCAAATCAGTTTAGAGTCCCTGTCATTGTTGTTGTTGTTGTGTGCCACTGAGTAGCTAAACCTCCAGTGGGTTTTCAGTGGTAATATATCATATGACAGGAGACTGCCATACTATTCCTGTGGAGTATCTGGTGGATTTGAACCCCATGCCTTTGGATTGTAGCACAGGTTCTTACCACTAGGCCACCAGAGCTTGCTTTTAAGTCCCTAGGTAGTAACTTGTAAGTGCTCAACTACTAGCTGACAGGTTGGCGCTGGTAGTCCCCTTAGGAGACTGTCCTGGTCATGTGCTTCCCAAAGATCACAGCCTTAAAAAACAAAACAGAAAAAAAAAAACCCCACAAACCCCCAAACACCTCTATAGAACTGTTCTCTTTATACACAGGGTGGCCCAGGAGTAGCAATCGAGCCAATAGCAACCAACATCTTTCTCCTCAATTCCCAAACAGGAGTTTTTGCTTGGAAAGAATGCTGAAGTGCTCATTCAGATCCAAGAAGGCGGCCACATCTCAAATGGGCAAATTCACAACAGAATATTCCTTATAATAACAGTACAAGTTTCAATTGAATTCTAAGCTATAAAGGAGTTATCAACAAACCTAAATAGGGCATGTACTTTTGTTTTCCTTTTATCTCTCCCCACCTCCAGATGTAAAATAAATATATTTGCTTATTGGCTGTGGGGGCTGAGAGTTCTGCATATTCTGGCCATCCAGGGTTGGGGCTCGGGTTGGTTTGATACCGTGTAACCTTAAGTTCTTTGGCACAACCCTGAAAATACACATGGCTAAAGTTCAAGCATTCTCTCCAGTGAATAGTATTTCGTGATGGGGCTCTCTTCTGTTGCATTTAAATTCACTCAGATTTTAGTTTAGCAAGTATGGTTGTTGAAGTAAGTTTAAGCTTCAAACTCACCTTTCATACTCTTCTGGACACTGTTATTTCCCTTTAGGAGCTTCGACCATTTTATTGCTCTTCTGGTGAGTACTACCAGATAGGTGGAAAAAAATTCTTCGTAAGAGGCATAGTCGAAGTCTTCAGGCCTTTCAAATCCATATGGATCAATCCTACAATTGGAAAAAGGCAAACATTTTAGACCAAGTTTCCTTAGACACAAGTGACCTGGAGAAGTTAAAACTGTGTTCCTATATAGTGGCATTAAGACCCTAACTTTCCTAGACCACTATGATTTTTGGGTTTTTTTTCTGGGCCAACGGCAGTATTTGTATGGGACCAGGCAGCTGTAAAAAGCAAAAGCACAAGGAGCCTGAGTGGGAAAAAGCAACTGCACGTTGACTTCGGAGCGGGCCAAGATTTAACTGTTACCATCCCTAATCGCTCAAGAGCCCAACTGAAAAACGAGACGGTGGCCCGTGATAGGGAGGGCTCGCTGCCAGTCACCGGTCCCGCGAGGCCACGCCGCCGACCCCGGGAGCCCCGGCCATGCGCCCCTGGTCTCTCCGCGCCGGGCTGCAGGAGACACAGCGATTTGGCCGACCTCGCGCGATGACTGCCATTCCCTTCTAGGGGACGGTACAGAGCGCGCACAGCGGCGCGGCGGGGGACGTGGCTCGGCACACTCAGGCGCACGCACCCGCAGCGCTCGGCGCCCCACAAAGCAGCGTCTCCGCAGGCGCCACGCCACCTACCTGGGGACCCGCTGCCGCGCCTCCTGTGAAGCCGCGTCTTCACCGGATCCCTGCCCCGCCGGCGCAGGGTCCATGCTGCGGGGGCCTCTGGGGGAGTTGGGGGGGGGGGCGCTCTCCGCCAGCGGAGACTCGGGGACTAGGGGAGGGCGGCGAGGGAACCCGGGGGTGGAGGAGGCGCCGCGGGCCCGCAGGCTGGGCCCCGCCCCGCGCAGTCCGCCCGAGTACTCAACGGCCCTGGCGGCTCCTCCCGGAGCCTGGAGGATTCGAGGAGGCAGGGGGGTAAGCAGATCCAAAGTTCATCTCCCTGGACTCCGGGAGCTCGGCGTCTCCTTCCGGGCCGGTGGCAGGAGGCGGTGCGAGGAGGCTAGGCGCCGAGCCGGGGTGCGCCCGAGTTGCGGGCGCTGGTGGCGGGGGCGTCTGGTGCGTTCCACGCGGCCCCCCTGGACGCTTGCCGGCGGGCAGTGGGGAGCGGCCCCTGCACCTGCTCCGTTGGCGCCCGGAAGGGTCAGCGTGGGCGGCGCAGACACAGAAGTTCCCCCAGGAGCAGGGCAGGGAGCCCCGGCTTTTCCCGGCGCTTCTCTCCTGCCCCGTGCCCCCTGCCCGGGCCGTCAGTTTAGAGGAAAGGGCGCAGGCCGCGGGCGCCGAGATCCGGCGGGCACAGCGCGCGCCAGGCCCAGGGTGCGGGAGGATGCGGGCCCCGTTCTCTCTGGACCAGTCAAGGGCCCGAGCGCACGACTCAGGCTTTTGGATCTTCGGCCTTCTTTAGCACGCCCCGGGAGTCCGTGGCTGCTAGGTTGGAGGGCTGCAAGAGGGGGTGGGGTTCGGCCCCACAGGCCTCCTGCCGCCTCCTGGCAGGGTGGGATGAATCGGCAAAGGTTAGGAGGAAATAAACCCAATGTTTATTCATTATAGTGCCATGTGCAACCCCAAAGGCATACCGAAAAAAAAACCCCCACCGTTTTGACCTTTGACTCCTCTATTTCTTCCCCTTTTGTACAGATAATGATCAAGTCTTCGGTTTATTTGCTTTCCCTTCAGCCTACTTTTTCAGCGTTGGAAACAAACATGTAAATTGACAAGTTTATAGTCTCAGCGCCTCAGCCCTGTGGGGAAGCGCCTGGGGAAACCTTGATGTTTCCTCCTCCCCCAGAACACCCTCGAGGATTTTTGCTAAAAGCCCCAAAGCGACCAAGGAAGCAGGGAGTTAAATTTCCCCTCCTGCCTCCACACCCTTCATCAAATCCTAACTCTGCCGGTGAGCCAAGCGTTGGAAAATTACAGCCCTTGCCAGAAAACCACATTATCCATAAAATTAGCTAGCTGTGGCTACTGAAAGACCAGCAGATGGAGTTTCTGAAAAAGGAGATTAAGTGCAAGCCCATCACCCGCTGATCCTCAAGATGAGTGGTAGGATTAATGTATTTAGGACCCAGCACACCAGCCCTGAAACCCGAGGGAGCGGGCTGAGGAGGCCTGGGGCAGGCGGCATTTCTTTAGCAACTGTCTTTGCCAGTATTTTTGTTTTGAGAACTTTGAAGCTCAAATCAGAATGCAGACTACTCACTGCAGATTAGCATTGATAATGCGCACATTGCTTCATTTGCTTTTTACTTAGGAAAAGTGCTTTAAAAAACAAACACAGTAGCACATAAACAAAGCGTGTGGATTAACTGGCCCTTTCACATATTCCAGGGCAGTCTCTATTTCGAGTATTGCTTTTTGGTTCTCACAAACCACTAAAATGTCCTAGAACTTTGAATAATTTGGCATGAGAAGCCTTAAATTCTTAATGAGAAATTTGCCAAAACTGTGTTTTAGCTTTTTGTTTGGAAAAATATATGATTTTAAAAAACAAACCACTCAGCTTTTTTTTTTATAAAAAAGTGTCTTATTTGAATGAAAGTTTACAAAGAAATTATTGTTTCACTCACTCATACATGTTTCCCCCAAATCTCAGCTTTTTACCATACTTTTTAGTTTGAAGGAGCTCTGGTGGCTCATTCAGTAGCTGAAGAGTTGTGCTGCTAGTCTAGAAGCTAGCTGGGCTTCGCTGTTAGAATCCATCCTCTTCTCTGTAGGAGGATGGACAGTTTCTTCTTAAGCACTTTACCACCTCAGAATACCAGTGGAGGGTGAGCTATGAGTTGGAAATTATTCCACTGGCAAACAATCATCATTTATTTTTTAAAACCTTGGTGGCTTTTGTAATTTGTAGGGAATTGTACTAGTAAATCCAAAGGCCTCATCTCTCTGGAGCTTTGAATCTACCAACAGCTCAAAGGGAGAAAGGTGGGCAATTTCCTCTCATTCAGATTTATTGCCCGAGATTCCCAATGGAGGAGTGGACTCTGACTAGAGAACAATAAGAAGGAAAAACTTTACAATTTATTCCTCCAAATTCTTCTCTCCCCAAGGGTTGTCTGTGGGTTTGTTTCTGTTTTTATAATGGCCACAGAAGTTTAGTGTAGAAAGGGATCTTTGCTCATGCAAATGCTATGTTAACAAACTAGTGGTGCTCAGGGCCCCTAATCTAAATTTCATCCAGTCCACTTTGGGTGGGGGGAAAGGCTTTATTATATTCCAAGTGCATCTTTTCATTAAAAAGAAGCGATAAATTGTGGCTTGATGTGAAAGAAAGAACATCAGCATTCTACTTTGCATGTGGCAGCCCTTGTGAAATAGCTTGGAGTCGTGTTTTTCCAGAAATGTTCCATCAGAGAACTAAAGGAGGAGCCTGAAAACTCATTTGTAGAACACCTGCAGTGTAGAATTTGTAGAATAACATATTTGAGATATGTTTACCTATTTTTATTCTTCTCCATATGTTTGAGTTGTACCTTGGTTGCAACAATGCTCTCAAGCACTGCAGAGCTTGTGAGAATGGTGCAGGATTGAGAAGTTGGTGTTGAATACAGGTTGGGTATAGGTTAGAGCTGACGGGACTATGCCTTGAAGGGTTCTAGGTTGCTCTGACTGTTGTGTTCAGTTATTAACCTAAAGGTTGGTAGTGTGAGCGTACTCAGCACTTCAGGAGAAAGGCCTATTTCCATAAAGATTACACTAAAAGCCTGTAGAGTAGTAACAAAGGCCCATTCATCCTCTGAATAATTGGCTCCAGGGTGGTGGGTTATATCCTTGAAGACTAGAAAATGTAGTGCACATTTGTTGTGCACCTTGAAATGCAGTGCTCAATTTATCACAGCCGTAATTACCAGTTTCTTAAATGTGTCTGTTTTGCTGGTTCTGAGGAAAAATTCTCAAGTCTTCAGCTCAACTGAGCAGCATTTTACTCTAGGAAGACAGCCTTTCTGTGCTTTTAACTTGCTTACTAACTCACTGCCTCTGAGTCAGAACTGACCCCTAGCTGACCCTCCAGCATATTTTTGGAGGCTGTAAATCATAGGTGAGGAGATTGCCCAGCTCTCTACCACAAAGCCACTGGTGGACTTGAACTGCCAGAGAGGCATTGTCTTTGGGTTAGCAGCACAGCTCACTTGGGGCTATGGCACCAGAGCTCCCTTTCAGTGCTTTGTGGTGGTTATGTACTGTGGAGTTGGAACTGACTCAGCTCACCCTCCAGTGAGTTTTTAGAGGCTGTAAATTACATAGGAGATTGCTCCTATTTCTCCCGTGGAGCAGCTGGTGGATTCTAACTGCCTGTCTCTGGGTTGTCAGCACAATTCCTTACCACTGGGCCACCAGATAAATATTCCTGGTATGTTCTATTCATTCCATCCCTATCTGTCCTCCTTTGCCACATTTACTTTTGCAAATACCACTTCTTTCACAGAGACTCAGAGTTAGGGCAGGGTTACATATCCTTACACCAGCATCCAGAGTCTTCCTCCTGGTCTGTGTTCACTCCTTTTGTGTCTTACTTATAGGATAAGAGTGAAAGATAATGAATATTGCACTGCAACAGGTGAGAAGAGTTGTTTAAAAGGAATATATGATTAGACATTATATGTAAGACAGCAGTCCAGAATGAATGCATGAATATTTAAAAAACCAAAAAAAGTGAACTGACGGAGAGGAAAGGGAAGGAGAGGCGTTAAAAATTGCAACAATGAATGAATGAAATTCTTAACTTTTCTGTAAACTTCTGTTAAAATCACAATTAAAAGAAAAATTTTTATTTAAAAACAACAGATCAGCATCCCCAAGGATCTCTCAGATACTTCTTTTGGTTCCCCACCCCCCACCCTTCAATTCTTTGCCGTTATTTCTTATCAGACTCAGGGTGGTTTGAACCAGTCCAAGCAAATGGGTCCTTAAATACCTCTGCTAATCTTATCTTTCTATAAGGGCCCAGACCTTTCTACTTAACAGCTCTCAGGCCAGACCCAACATCTCCCACCCACCAGACTGCTCCCTGACTCTAATTCCTCTGTTAAAACAACCCTGCCGTTTCAGTTTCTGACCTCTGATTTTTGAGGGGCAGTCGGACTCCTCTCATTCCATCACCTATAAAATCCTTCTTTCCTATAATCTTCCACCTCTTCTGATTGTTAGTGTGATTCCAGTTCAGTTCTTTCCTATGCATCTTCCTCACAGTTGCGTTCAGTTACTCCTGCCCTGCCGGGAAACATAAGTCCTTTGGGTTAGTGCATCTGAACTTGCATACCCTGACAACATCCTTGGCAGAGTATATTCTGGTGCTAGGTGAAGCTGAAGTTGTGAGCAGTCTCTGTGTTAAACAGGTTAGATAAGAGAAGGGCTGCCTTCCCGGAAGAGTGGGAAGGAGATCAACAAAAAAAGAGTTAGGATCCAATGCCAAAAAATGAGCAGCAGCCAGGGAGAGAAGAATTTAAAAGGTCTCTAGAGGGTTTAAAAACTTCTGTCCCTCTGCTCCCACGCTCCCCACCTTTCCTTATCACATCAGGCCTGAGCTCACCTTTTAGAACCAGGAAACTAAGGTTGTTCAGACTAAGAAAGACAGTTTGTTGAGAACCTGCTGGGGTGACTCTATACAGTGGTTACTTAGAGTGGAGTTTTATATTGACAAGATAAGGGAGCAGACTGGGGGGTCATAGAGAGTTATTCTTAGAAAACGGAGGTGAACTAGTTTTGCAGC